GCATGTGGCTTAGGAAGTAGATGCCACTCCTGCTTCCAAACCTGTCTTAAACTAGGAGCTCCACCAAAACATTGTCCACCATGGGCAACTGTTATGGCATTTGACCCCCTAATAGCACTAGATTCAGCATCACAGCAAACCCAGATTACCTTAGTACAGCAAATTATTAGAGGAGTGCTGTACAACTTAAAGACTGTTCCCCCAAAATATAATAACATGAGACCCGAGGGCCCAACTGACTTTTAAATACAAGGGTATTCAATGAGGTCTTGTTGATTCTAAACAAGAGGCTTAAATAAAATATACAAACAAACAAAAACTAACAAACATTCTGTACAACTCTCAACCAAAACAAGAATGCCCAACTTACAGAGTTCAGCCGCATTACCCAGTCTCCAAAATGGAGACAAGGGCCTGGCTTTAAATATTAGGTAATTGAAAAAAAAAAAAAAATGTGAAAAGACTTACAGGAGGCTGAAATTACCTAAGTAAAATACGCCGGCATGAAATTGCATGATGTTGAGGGGAATCACAAAAATAGTTGGCGTTACCCAAGGATGACAAATCAGAGAGGAACGATAATGGCATATGGCCAAGTGAGACCCTGGGGTAGATGAAGGTGGCGTGTTAATGGGAACTACAGTATCAATTTCTAAAGTTGACAGTGACAAAGCCAATTTATATATTAAATATTTTTCTTCCTAATAGTTTATTTCCAATATAACTTTAAATTTATAAGGATTGAAATTTTGCCTTGTGTAATTCTTGATGTATAGGTCAACTTGTATAAACTATATTAATCAGCCATCTTCCTCCCTAGCTTATACTTGGGTTCAGCCAACTGTATATATTTACTATGTATTTACCCATGGGAGCTCTGGAGGGCTAGTGACATATACTGCACTGCAATCCCAAAGAAACGAGGTTTGAGGCCACCAGCTGCTCCACAGAAGAAGGATGAGCATTCTCCTCCCATGTGATTAACTGCCTGTGAAAACCCACTGGAGGGTCAGCAATGGGTCAGTCCTCACTCTAGGGTACACCATAATGATGTTTGCCATCAATGGATCCATTCTGTGTGATTATCTTCCGCTTGAAGAATTTTGTTTCTTGAAGTTCAGGTCCGCTAGTGATAATTCCTTCTAGATTTTGTTTTTTGAAAATATTTTTATCATATTCTAGAAGAATATAGAATTCTGGGCTGACATTTTTTAAAATTCCTCCAGCACTACGTGGATGATATACCTCTCTGTCTTTTGGCTTCCATTGGTTGTTTCTTTGTCAAATGCAAAGGCTGTTTGTCTATCTATCAATCTACCTAATCCATATATTTGTTCAAACATTCATTCATTATCTATCTATCTATCTATCTATCTATCTATCTATCTATCTATCTATCTATCTATCTACCTACCTACCTATTTTGTGATTTGAGTGAAGTTTTACAGACCAAATTGATTTTCCACTTAGCAATTAACACACATTTTGTTTTATGATGTTAACTGCAATATCTACAATGTAACCTTACTCTTCACACTTCTTCCTTGTATATTATTTCCATTAATCTTTTATTCTACCCCTTTCTTGCCTTGTGATCTTTGTTGTTATTATGTGTCATCGAGTTGCCTGTGACTCATAGTGACCCTATTTACAAAAGATCTGAAGCCTGCCCTATAATGAGCCACTCTTACTGATTCTGACACAACTACCCCCGTTACTCCAGTAACTGTGTCAATCCATCTTATGTGGGGGTCTTCTTTTCCTATGCTGTCCCTCTTCCCTTCTAAATATGAC